GCCAAAATGACTTTTAAGAATGTGGATTTTTGGGTCATCTTTGGCGCCCCCTAGAACGTATACCGTGGGGTGCAGCGTCATGATTTTTACAACTTTGAATGGGCATGGGGTGTAGATTGCCCTGAGCAAATTTGGTATCGGTGGGACGAAAGCCTTAGGAGGAGATAGCCACATTCCAATGTGTGCGAATCGGCAAAAAATGCAAAATAGCCCTTTAACCGTACATTATACAGATACGCGCTCTTTGACTTTTTCGTAGATCTAATTGAGATACACATGATTGTCAATTTTTGTGTCAATATGACAAAGCGTTCAGGCGTGACACTCAACAATGTGTATTTTTATGTAAGGGGACAAGGAAAAATTGACTTTTTTCTCCTACCATGGGGGGGCGCTCTTTTGGGGAGTAAAAATTCCTTCACAAATGTGTTGATGGCTGGACATTGCATCATCCTAGAAAACTTGGAGGCCAGTGAGGACAAAAATAAAAAGTTATAAAACATTTAAGAATGTGGATATTTGGGTCATCTTTGGCGCCCCCTAGAACGTAAACCGTGGGGTGCAGCGTCATGATTTGAATAACTTTTAATGGCCATGGGGTGTAGATTGGCCTGAGCAAATGTGGTGTCAGTGGGACGAAAGCCTTAGGAGTAGTTAGCCACATTCCAATGTGTGCGAATCGGCAAAAAATGCAAAATAGCCCTTTAACCGTACATTTTACAGATACGCGCGCATTGACTTTTTCGTAGATCTTATTGAGATACATGTGATTGTCAAATTTTGTGTCAATATGACAAAGCGTACAGGTATGACAGTCAACAATGTGTTTTTTCACCTTATGGGACAAGAAAAAATGGACTTTTTTCTCCTGCCATGGGGGGGCGCTCTTTTGGGGAGTAAAAATTCCTTCACAAATGTGTTGATGGCTGGACATTGCATCATCCTAGAAAACTTGGAGGCCAGTGAGGACAAAAATAAAAAGTTATAAGACTTTGAAATATGTGGATTTTAGGGTTATCTTTGGCTCCCCCTAGAACCTAAACCGTGGGGTGCAGCGTCATGATTTGAATAACTTTTAATGGCCATGGGGTGTAGATTGGCCTGAGCAAATGTGGTGCCGGTGGAACGAAAGCCTTCGGAGGAGTTAGCGAAATTCCAATGTGTGCGGATCGGCAAAAAATGCGGAATAACCCTTTAACCTTACATTTGACAGATACGCGCGCATTGACTTTTTCGTAGATCGTATTGAGATACATGTGTGTGTCAATTTTTGTGTCATTTTGCCAAAGCGTACAGGTGTTACACTCAACAATGTGTATTTTCACCTTAGGGGACAAGAAAAAATGGACTTTTTTCTCCTGCCATGGGGGGGCGCTCTTTTGGGGAGTAAAAATTCCTTCACAAATGTGTTGATGGCTGGACATTGCATCATCCTAGAAAACTTGGAGGCCAGTGAGGGCAAAAATAAAAAGTTATAAGACTTTTAAATATGTGGATCTTAGGGTTATCTTTGGCGCCCCCTAGAACCTAAACCGTGGGGTGCAGCGTCATGATTTGAATAACTTTTAATGGCCATGGGGTGTAGATTGGCCTGAGCAAATGTGGTGCCGGTGGAACGAAAGCCTTCGGAGGAGTTAGCGAAATTCCAATGTGTGCGGATCGGCAAAAAATGCGAAATAACCCTTTAACCGTACATTTGACAGATACGCCCGCACTGACTTTTTTGTAGATCTTATTGAGATACATGTGTGTGTCAATTTTTGTGTCATTTTGACAAAGCATACAGGCGTGACAGTGAATAGTGTGAATTTTCACCTTAGGGGGCGCTATGGAGCCATTTTGCATTTTCTTGTTTGGGCGACTTCAGAATATCAAATTTTTCACCAGGCCCGGTCGTCCTGCCAAATTTCATGAGTTTTCGCCAGTGGGAAGTGGGCCATTTTCCAGTTCAAAGGGGAGGAAAAATAATAACTAGGGCCCCGTTGGGGCACTGGCGGGCCCGAGCCGTGTCACGCCGCCCCCAGCGCGACCGCCTCCCCCACCCGATCGCGTCACACTCAAGGTCCAAAGATGGTGTGCGCACTTGTTTGTGGTCATTTACCATTATAATGAACGGGAGGCGCAGTTTCTACCAAAACGCTCGCTGCAGAAAAACTCCATGTCCTATTTGAAAAAAGTCTGGACCATGAGTGAGGGCACAAACACAGCTAAGATATATCCAAATGGCAAGTTGCTCCTCCTTTCGCTTTTGCCGAGAGAGCAGTGCGTTTGAGCCATTGAATGATGAACAGGAAAAACTTGACTTTATTCTCCTGCCATGGGGGGGCGCTCTTTTAAAGAGAAAAAACTCCTTCACAAATGTGTTGATGGCTGGACATTGCATCATCCTAGAAAACATGGAGGCCAGTGAGGACAAAAATAAAAAGTTATAAGACTTTTAAATATGTGGATTTTAGGGTTATATTTGGCGCCCCCTAGAACCTAAACCGTGGGGTGCAGCGTCATGATTTGAATAACTTTTAATGGCCATGGGGTGTAGATTGGCCTGAGCAAATGTGGTGCCGGTGGAACGAAAGCCTTCGGAGGAATTAGCGAAATTCCAATGTGTGCGAATCTGCAAAAAATGCGAAATAACCCTTTAACCGTACATTTTACAGATACGTGGCCATTGACTTTTTCGAAGATCTTATGTAAATACACGTGTATGTAAAATTTTGTGTCAATACGACAAAACATACAGGCGTAGCACTCAACAATGTGTATTTTCACCTTAGTGGACAAGAAAAAATTGACTTTTTTCTCCTGCCATGGGGGGGCGCTCTTTTGCCGAGTAAAAATTCCTTCACAAATGTGTTGATGGCTGGACATTGCATCATCCTAGAAAACTTGGAGGCCAGTGGGGACAAAAATAAAAAGTTATAAGACTTTTAAATATGTGGATTTTACGGTTATCTTTGGCTCCCCCTAGAACCTAAACCGTGGGGTGCAGCGTCATGATTTGAATAACTTTTAATGGCCATGGGGTGTAGATTGGCCTGAGCAAATGTGGTGCCGGTGGAACGAAAGCCTTCGGAGGAGTTAGCGAAATTCCAATGTGTGCGGATCGGCAAAAAATGCGGAATAACCCTTTAACCGTACATTTGACAGATACGCGCGCATTGACTTTTTCGTAGATCTTATTGAGATACATGTGTGTGTCAATTTTTGTGTCATTTTGCCAAAGCGTACAGGTGTTACACTCAACAATGTGTATTTTCACCTTAGGGGACAAGAAAAAATGGACTTTTTTCTCCTGCCATGGGGGGGCGCTCTTTTGGGGAGTAAAAATTCCTTCACAAATGTGTTGATGGCTGGACATTGCATCATCCTAGAAAACTTGGAGGCCAGTGATGGCAAAAATAAAAAGTTATAAGACTTTTAAATATGTGGATCTTAGGGTTATCTTTGGCGCCCCCTAGAACCTAAACCGTGGGGTGCAGCGTCATGATTTGAATAACTTTTAATGGCCATGGGGTGTAGATTGGCCTGAGCAAATGTGGTGCCGGTGGAACGAAAGCCTTCGGAGGAGTTAGCGAAATTCCAATGTGTGCGGATCGGCAAAAAATGCGAAATAACCCTTTAACCGTACATTTGACAGATACGCCCGCACTGACTTTTTTGTAGATCTTATTGAGATACATGTGTGTGTCAATTTTTGTGTCATTTTGACAAAGCGTACCGGCGTGACAGTGAATAGTGTGAATTTTCACCTTAGGGGGCGCTATGGAGCCATTTTGCATTTTCTTGTTCTGGCGACTTCCGAATATCAAATTTTTCACCAGGCCCGGTCGTCCTGCCAAATTTCATGAGTTTTCGCCAGTGGGAAGTGGGCCATTTTCCAGTTCAAAGGGGAGGAAAAATAATAACTAGGACCCCGTTGGGGCACTGGCGGGCCCGAGCCGTGTCGCGTCCCCCCCCCCCCAACGTGCTGCCTTCCCGTCCCATTTGTGTCCTCTGGCCATCGCCCTCTCTGGTAACGCCCATCACTGCAAAGACCCTTTTCCTTCATCGGCGTTTGCTGTTCTTCCTGCCAGTGCGTGTTGCTTTCACTTACACTTGCCACAGCCAGCCTCGTGAGTGCCTAGCCTATTGGATATCACTGTCACCTACACAGGACAGTCATTACCTTTCTATTAATACTTTGTGTTTTAATTTCACATTAATTTCCATATTGTATAAACGACTGGAAAAAACTTGAGCCCCTGCCCCTGTATAATCATGTGCATGTCTCTGTTCTAGCTCCAAGGTGAATCTTCACTGCTCATGTTCTCCTCAGAAGCACTCACCTCACTCCCCTCAGGTTACTGTACACATGCACCAACTGCCTGCTTCAGGTTTGGATGGAGCTTCATGGTTGTCTTTTGGAGAAATGACCAGTCAAGTTGTGTTTGAAATTTGATTTTTTTCAGGGGCAAAAGGAGCCTCTGCATTCTTGTCAAATATGTAAATAGCATGTTTTTGCAGGTGCTAAAAACCAGACTCTGAGTGTGTGTGTGTGTGTGTGTGTGTGCGTGTGTGTGTGTCTGTGTGTGCGTTCAAGTCACATGACATATTTAACCGGATGTAGCTGCAAGACAGAGCCTCGTTGACTCTCCGTTTCAACTTATCTCAAAAGTGAGGACCTCAACCTATATACCAGTTTTTAAATTGTGTTGATAGGCCAAATAAAACCAGAGTTATGATAAATTATGTCCGCGATACTTTTTTTCTGCTTATTTTGATCACGTTCGGCGCTCGATCGCGCTGTATGAGACAGGAAAACATAGCATGCAGACATTAGCGACAGGTCTTACAGGCGGAAAAGGCTTGCCAAAAGAAAAAAAAAACATACCACAACATCTCTCCTATTGGTGGAAAACTTCACCACAACAACCAATCCAAAATTATCTGGTGACTGATTGACAAGGGGCGGGCGCTTACGTTCTTCCTGCAACATGAGAAGCGAGGGAGGGACTCTCAGCAGGGATGCAGTCTGGGACACGTAGTTGCAAACCTAGCGACTTTGTTGTTAGATTCAATGACTTTTCAGACCCCCTAACGACTTTTTTTTAGAAAGAAAGGGACTTTTATCGACTTCTTCTGGAGTTTAGAGACTCTGACATGAAGCAGGCTTTCCTTACTGAGGAGTTAGCAACGCTGCTAAGGGTGCAGAGCCACACATGCGCTCAGAGCTCTGCATGGGAGACTGAAGCTGACAGAGCTGCAGCAGTTAGCAGGTTTCACCCTCAGAGACCACCAGGGGTTCATGTTGAGGCATTTTAATTTTTTTTTTTTTTGTGCCATAGACACTGTCAGCACAATCTGCAGTTACACTAACAAAAATGCTGCAAAAAACAAAGAATTATGGAAAAATTACACATGGACTGACATAGAGGAGGATCTACACAAGTTTTTTACATCATGTTTTACATCATGCATCATTTACATCATGTTTTTTTGTAGTGGCATAAATAAAAAGTGACATTTGTGAGACTATACAGTGTTTTGTAAATAATTTTACAAAGAACGCCTGGGCCATTGCCTGCATTTTGATGTAAATAGAGGTAAATCACTATGTTCTTTGTTAAAAATTTGCATATGTTTTGAAGTTTACAATTTTTATTTGAAGTTTAAGTTTTAAAAACAGTTCATCACACATATTTGTGGTTTTCACAGTAAAAATGTTACTTTTTTCCACTCGGATTTTATGTTTTGTGTGTGAATTTGGGTCCATTGTGTAAATTCAGTATGTCAACATGATAAAATAACTGTAAATTCGCACAGGTGAGGTTGTGCGGAAAAAAATGATACCAGGCAAGGCACGTGATTGTCAAATTTTGTGTCAATATGACAAAGCGTATAGGCGTGAATCTCAACAATATGTATTTTCACCTTAGGGGACAAGAAAAAATGGACTTTTTTCTCCTGCCATGGGGGGGCGCTCTTTTGGGGAGTAAAAATTCCTTCACAAATGTGTTGATGGCTGGACATTGCATCATCCTAGAAAACTTGGAGGCCAGTGAGGACAAAAATAAAAAGTTATAAGACTTTTAAATATGTGGATTTTAGGGTTATCTTTGGCGCCCCCTAGAACCTAAACCGTGGGGTGCAGCGTTTTATTTGAAGTTTAAGTTTTAAAAACAGTTCATCACACATATTTGTGGTTTAATTTCACATTAATTTCCATATTGTATAAATGACTGGAAAAAACTTGAGCCCCTGCCCCTGTATAATCATGTGCACGTCCCTGTTCTAGCTCCAAGGTGAATCTTCACTGCTCATGTTCTCCTCAGAAATAGTCACCTCACTCCCCTCAGGTTACTGTACACATGCACCAACTATCTGCTTCAGGTTTGAAATGGAGCTTCATGGTTGTCTTTTGGAGAAATGAACAGTCAAGTTGTGTTTGAAATTTGATTTTTTTCAGGGGCAAAAGGAAGCCTCTGCATTCTTGTCAAATATGTAAACAGCATGTTTTTGCAGGTGCTAAAAAACAGACTCTGAGTGTGTGTGTGTGTGTCTGTGTGTGTGTGTGTGTGTGTGTGTGTGTATGTTGGCGTGTGTGTATATGTGTGTGTATCCTGCAGTACTCTGTACTCCTGCAGTGGCCAAAAAAACTTTTAAGAATGTGGATTTTTGGGTCATCTTTGGCGCCCCCTAGAACTGCAGTACTCTGTACTCCTGCAGTGGCCAAAATGACTTTTAAGAATGTGGATTTTTGGGTCATCTTTGGCGCCCCCTAGAACGTAAACCGTGGGGTGCAGCGTCATGATTTTAACAACTTTGAATGGGCATGGGGTGTAGATTGCCCTGAGCAAATTTGGTATCGGTGGGACGAAAGCCTTAGGAGGAGATAGCCACATTCCAATGTGTGCGAATCGGCAAAAAATGCAAAATAGCCCTTTAACCGTACATTATACAGATACGCGCTCTTTGACTTTTTCGTAGATCTAATTGAGATACACATGATTGTCAATTTTTGTGTCAATATGACAAAGCGTTCAGGCGTGACACTAAACAATGTGTATTTTCATGTAAGGGGACAAGAAAAAATTGACTTTTTTCTCCTACCATGGGGGGGGCGCTCTTTTGGGGAGTAAAAATTCCTTCACAAATGTGTTGATGGCTGGACATTGCATCATCCTAGAAAACTTGGAGGCCAGTGAGGACAAAAAAAAAAAGTTATAAAACATTTAAGAATGTGGATTTTTGGGTTATTTTTGGCGCCCCCTAGAACCTAAACCATGGGGTGCAGCATCATGATTTGAATAAATTTTAATGGCCATGGGGTGTAGATTGGCCTGAGCAAATGTGGTGCCAGTGGAACGAAAGCCTTCAGAGGAGTTAGCGAAATTCCAATGTGTGCGTATCGGCAAAAAATGCGGAATAACCCTTTAACTGTACATTTGACAGATACGCGCGCATTGACTTTTTCGTAGATCTTATTGAGATACATGTGTGTGTCAATTTTTGTGTCATTTTGCCAAAGCGTACAGGCGTGACACTCAACAATGTGTATTTTCACCTTAGGGGACAAGAAAAAATGGACTTTTTTCTCCTGCCATGGGGGGGCGCTCTTTTGGCGAGTAAAAATTCCTTCACAGATGTGTTGATGGCTGGACATTGCATCATCCTAGAAAACTTGGAGGCCAGTGAGGACAAAAATAAAAAGTTATAAGACTTTTAAATATGTGGATTTTAGGGTTATTTTTGGCGCCCCCTAGAACCTAAACCGTGGGGTGCAGCGTCATGATTTGAATAACTTTTAATGGCCATGGGGTGTAGATTGGCCTGAGCAAATGTGGTGCCGGTGGAACGAAAGCCTTCGGAGGAGTTAGCGAAATTCCAATGTGTGCGGATCGGCAAAAAATGCGAAATAACCCTTTAACCGTACATTTGACAAATACGCCCGCATTGACTTTTTTGTAGATCTTATTGAGATACATATGTGTGTCAATTTTTGTGTCAATATGACAAAGCGTACAGCCGTCATGTGAATTTTCACCTTAGGGGGCGCTATGGAGCCATTTTGCATTTTATTGTTTGGGCGACTTCAGAATATCGAATTTTTCACCAGGCCCGGTCGTCCTGCCAAATTTCCTGAGTTTTCGCCAGTGGGAAGTGGGCAATTTTCCAGTTCAAAGGGGAGGAAAAAGAAAAACTAGGACCCCGTTGGGGCACTGGCGGGCCCGAGCCGTGTCGCGTCCCCCCCCCAACGTGCTGCCTCCCCGTCCCATTTGTGTCCTCTGGCCATCGCCCTCTTTGGTAACGCCCATCACTGCAAAGACCCTTTTCCTTCATCGGCGTTTGCTGTTCTTCCTGCCAGTGCGTGTTGCTTTCACTTACACTTGCCACAGCCAGCCTCGTGAGTGCCTAGCCTATTGGATATCACTGTCACCTACACAGGACAGTCATTACCTTTCTATTAATACTTTGTGTTTTAATTTCACATTAATTTCCATATTGTATAAACGACTGGAAAAAACTTGAGCCCCTGCCCCTGTATAATCATGTGCATGTCTCTGTTCTAGCTCCAAGGTGAATCTTCACTGCTCATGTTCTCCTCAGAAGCACTCACCTCACTCCCCTCAGGTTACTGTACACATGCACCAACTGCCTGCTTCAGGTTTGGATGGAGCTTCATGGTTGTCTTTTGGAGAAATGACCAGTCAAGTTGTGTTTGAAATTTGATTTTTTTCAGGGGCAAAAGGAGCCTCTGCATTCTTGTCAAATATGTAAATAGCATGTTTTTGCAGGTGCTAAAAACCAGACTCTGAGTGTGTGTGTGTGTGTGTGTGTGAGTGTGTGTGTGTGTGTGTGTGCGTGTGTGTGTGTCTGTGTGTGCGTTCAAGTCACATGACATATTTAACCGGATGTAGCTGCAAGACGGAGCCTCGTTGACTCTCCGTTTCAACTTATCTCAAAAGTGAGGACCTCAACCTATATACCAGTTTTTAAATTGTCTTGATAGGCCAAATAAAACCAGAGTTATGATAAATTATGTCCGCGATACTTTTTTTCTGCTTATTTTGATCACGTTCGGCGCTCGATCGCGCTGTATGAGACAGGAAAACATAGCATGCAGACATTAGCGACAGGTCTTACAGGCGGAAAAGGCTTGCCAAAAGAAAAAAAAAACACACCACAACATCTCTCCTATTGGTGGAAAACTTCACCACAACAACCAATCCAAAATTATATGGTGACTGATTGACAAGGGGGGCGCTTACGTTCTTCCTGCAACATGAGAAGCGAGGGAGGGACTCTCAGCAGGGATGCAGTCTGGGACACGTAGTTGCAAACCTAGCGACTTTGTTGTTAGATTCAATGACTTTTCAGACCCCCTAACGACTTTTTTTTAGAAAGAAAGGGACTTTTATCGACTTCTTCTGGAGTTTAGAGACTCTGACATGAAGCAGGCTTTCCTTACTGAGGAGTTAGCAACGCTGCTAAGGGTGCAGAGCCACACATGCGCTCAGAGCTCTGCATGGGAGACTGAAGCTGACAGAGCTGCAGCAGTTAGCAGGTTTCACCCTCAGAGACCACCAGGGGTTCATGTTGAGGCATTTTAATTTTTTTTTTTTTTTTTGTGCCATAGACACTGTCAGCACAATCTGCAGTTACACTAACAAAAATGCTGCAAAAAACAAAGAATTATGGAAAAATTACACATGGACTGACATAGAGGAGGATCTACACAAGTTTTTTACATCATGTTTTACATCATGCATCATTTACATCATGTTTTTTTGTAGTGGCATAAATAAAAAGTGACATTTGTGAGACTATACAGTGTTTTGTAAATAATTTTACAAAGAACGCCTGGGCCATTGCCTGCATTTTGATGTAAATAGAGGTAAATTACTATGTTCTTTGTTAAAAATTTGCATATGTTTTGAAGTTTACAATTTTTATTTGAAGTTTAAGTTTTAAAAACAGTTCATCACACTTATTTGTGGTTTAATTTCACATTAATTTCCATATTGTATAAATGACTGGAAAAAACTTGAGCCCCTGCCCCTGTATAATCATGTGCACGTCCCTGTTCTAGCTCCAAGGTGAATCTTCACTGCTCATGTTCTCCTCAGAAATAGTCACCTCACTCCCCTCAGGTTACTGTACACATGCACCAACTATCTGCTTCAGGTTTGGATGGAGCTTCATGGTTGTCTTTTGGAGAAATGAACAGTCAAGTTGTGTTTGAAATTTGATTTTTTTCAGGGGCAAAAGGAAGCCTCTGCATTCTTGTCAAATATGTAAACAGCATGTTTTTGCAGGTGCTAAAAAACAGACTCTGAGTGTGTGTGTGTGTGTGTGTGTGTGTGTGTGTGTGTGTGTGTGTGTGTGTGTGTGTGTGTGTGTGTGTGTGTATGTTGGCGTGTGTGTATATGTGTGTGTATCCTGCAGTACTCTGTACTCCTGCAGTGGCCAAAAAGACTTTTAAGAATGTGGATTTTTGGGTCATCTTTGGCGCCCCCTAGAACTGCAGTACTCTGTACTCCTGCAGTGGCCAAAATGACTTTTAAGAATGTGGATTTTTGGGTCATCTTTGGCGCCCCCTAGAACGTAAACCGTGGGGTGCAGCGTCATGATTTTTACAACTTTGAATGGGCATGGGGTGTAGATTGCCCTGAGCAAATTTGGTATCAGTGGGACGAAAGCCTTAGGAGGAGATAGCCACATTCCAATGTGTGCGAATCGGCAAAAAATGCAAAATAGCCCTTTAACCGTACATTATACAGATACGCGCTCATGGACTTTTTTGTAGATCTTATTGAGATACATGTGTGTGTCAATTTTTGTGTCATTTTGACAAAGCGTACAGGCGTGACACTCAACAATGTGTATTTTCACCTTAGGGGACAAGAAAAAATGGACTTTTTTCTCCTGCCATGGGGGGGCGCTCTTTTGGGGAGTAAAAATTCCTTCACAAATGTGTTGATGGCTGGACATTGCATCATCCTAGAAAACTTGGAGGCCAGTGAGGGCAAAAATAAAAAGTTATAAGACTTTTAAATATGTGGATTTTAGGGTTATCTTTGGCGCCCCCTAGAACCTAAACCGTGGGGTGCAGCGTCATGATTTGAATAACTTTTAATGACCATGGGGTGTAGATTGGCCTGAGCAAATGTGGTGCCGGTGGAACGAAAGCCTTCGGAGGAGTTAGCGAAATTCCAATGTGTGCGGATCGGCAAAAAATGCGAAATAACCCTTTAACCGTACATTTGACAGATACGCCCGCACTGACTTTTTTGTAGATCTTATTGAGATACATGTGTGTGTCAATTTTTGTGTCATTTTGACAAAGCGTACAGGCGTGACAGTCAATAGTGTGAATTTTCACCTTAGGGGGCGCTATGGAGCCATTTTGCATTTTCTTGTTTGGGCGACTTCGGAATATCAAATTTTTCACCAGGCCCGGTCGTCCTGCCAAATTTCATGAGTTTTCGCCAGTGGGAAGTGGGCCATTTTCCAGTTCAAAGGGGAGGAAAAATAATAACTAGGGCCCCGGTGGGGCACTGTCGGGCCCGAGCCGCGTCGCGCCGCCCCCAGCGCGACCGCCTCCCCCCCCCGATCGCGTCACACTCAAGGTCCAAAGATGGTGTGCGCACTTGTCTGTGGTCATTTCCCATTATAATAAATGGGAGGCGCAGTTTCTACCAAAACACTCGCTGCAGACAAACTACATGTCCTATTTGAAAAAAGTCTGGACCATGAGTGAGGGCACAAACACAGCTAGGATATATCCAAACGGCAAGTTGCTCCTCGTTACGGTGTTGCCGGGAGAGTGATGCGATTGAGCCATTGAGAGATGGGCAGGAAAAACTTGACTGTTTCTCCTGCCATGGGGGATGGGGGATGGGGGGGGGGTGGATTCTTTTAAGAATGTGGATATTTGGGTCATCTTTGGCGCCCCCTAGAACGTAAACCGTGGGGTGCAGCGTCATGATTTTTACAACTTTGAATGGCCATGGGGTGTAGATTGGCCTGAGCAAATTTGGTGTCAGTGGGACGAAAGCCTTAGGAGGAGTTAGCCACATTCCAATGTGTGCGAATCGGCAAAAAATGCAAAATAGCCCTTTAACCGTACATTTTACAGATACGCGTGCATTGACTTTTTCGTAGATGTTATTGAGACACACGTGATTGTCAAATTTTGTGTCAATATGACAAAGCGTACAGGCGTGGCACTCAACAATATGTATTTTCACCTTAGGGGACAAGAAAAAATGGACTTTTTTCTCCTGCCATGGGGGGGACGCTCTTTTGGGGAGTAAAAATTCCTTCACAAATGTGTTGATGGCTGGACATTGCATCATCCTAGAAAACTTGGAGGCCAGTGAGGACAAAAATAAAAAGTTATAAGACTTTTAAATATGTGGATTTAAGTGTTATCTTTGGCGCCCCCTAGAACCTAAACCGTGGGGTGCAGCGTCATGATTTGAATAACTTTTAATGGCCATGGGGTGTAGATTGGCCTGAGCAAATGTGGTGCCGGTGGAACGAAAGCCTTAGGAGGAGTTAGCCACATTCCAATGTGTGCGGATCGGCAAAAAATGCGGAATAACCCTTTAACCGTACATTTGACAGATACGCGCGCATTGACTTTTTCGTAGATCTTATTGAGTTACATGTGTGTGTCAATTTTTGTGTCATTTTGACAAAGCGTATAGGCGTGACACTCAACAATGTGTATTTTCACCTTAGGGGACAAGAAAAAATGGACTTTTTTCTCCTGCCATGGGGGGGCGCTCTTTTGGGGAGTAAAAATTCCTTCACAAATGTGTTGATGGCTGGACATTGCATCATCCTAGAAAACTTGGAGGCCAGTGAGGACAAAAATAAAAAGTTATAAGACTTTTAAATATGTGGATTTTAGTGTTATCTTTGGCGCCCCCTAGAACCTAAACCTTGGGGTGCAGCGTCATGATTTTGATAACTTTTAATGGCCACGGGGTGTAGATTGGCCTGAGCAAATGTGGTGCCGGTGGAACGAAAGCCTTCGGAGGAGTTAGCGAAATTCCAATGTGTGCGGATCGGAAAACAATGCGAAATAACCCTTTAACCGTACATTTGACAGATACGGCCGCACTGACTTTTTTGTAGATCTTATTGAGATACATATGTGTGTCAATTTTTGTGTCAATATGACAAAGCGTACAGGCGTGACAGTCAATAGTGTGAATTTCCACCTTAGGGGGCGCTATGGAGCCATTTTGCATTTTATTGTTTGGGCGACTTCAGAATATCGAATTTTTCACCAGGCCCGGTGGTCCTGCCAAATTTCATGAGTTTTCGCCAGTGGGAAGTGGGCCATTTTCCAGTTCAAAGGGGAGGAAAAAGAAGAAAGAAAGAAAGAAAGAAAGAAAGAAAGAAACAAAGAAAAACCACTTGGGGAATAATAGGGCCTACGCCCGGCTGCTCTGCAGCTGGCTCGGGCCCTAATAATAACAAAAGAAGGAAACTACAGGAACAAGAGGGCTCTCGCAGCTGCTTAGCAGCTACGCTCGGGCCCTAACTAGGACCCCGTTGGGGCACTGGCGGGCCCGAGCCGTGTCGCCCCCCCCCCCCCCCCCCCCCAACGTGCTGCCTCCCCGTCCCATTTGTGTCCTCTGGCCATCGCCCTCTCTTGTAACGCCCATCACTGCAAAGACCCTTTTCCTTCATCGGCGTTTGCTGTTCTTCCTGCCAGTGCGTGTTGCTTTCACTTACACTTGCCACAGCCAGCCTCGTGAGTGCCTAGCCTATTGGATATCACTGTCACCTACACAGGACAGTCATTACCTTTCTATTAATACTTTGTGTTTTAATTTCACATTAATTTCCATATTGTATAAACGACTGGAAAAAACTTGAGCCCCTGCCCCTGTATAATCATGTGCATGTCTCTGTTCTAGCTCCAAGGTGAATCTTCACTGCTCATGTTCTCCTCAGAAGCACTCACCTCACTCCCCTCAGGTTACTGTACACATGCACCAACTGCCTGCTTCAGGTTTGGATGGAGCTTCATGGTTGTCTTTTGGAGAAATGACCAGTCAAGTTGTGTTTGAAATTTGATTTTTTCAGGGGCAAAAGGAGCCTCTGCATTCTTGTCAAATATGTAAATAGCATGTTTTTGCAGGTGCTAAAAACCAGACTCTGAGTGTGTGTGTGTGTGTGTGTGTGTGTGTGTGTGTGTGTGTGTGTGTGTGTGTGCGTGTGTGTGTGTCTGTGTGTGCGTTCAAGTCACATGACATATTTAACCGGATGTAGCTGCAAGACGGAGCCTCGTTGACTCTCCGTTTCAACTTATCTCAAAAGTGAGGACCTCAACCTATATACCAGTTTTTAAATTGTGTTGATAGGCCAAATAAAACCAGAGTTATGATAAATTATGTCCGCGATACTTTTTTTCTGCTTATTTTGATCACGTTCGGCGCTCGATCGCGCTGTATGAGACAGGAAAACATAGCATGCAGACATTAGCGACAGGTCTTACAGGCGGAAAAGGCTTGCCAAAAGAAAAAAAAAACACACCACAACATCTCTCCTATTGGTGGAAAACTTCACCACAACAACCAATCCAAAATTATATGGTGACTGATTGACAAGGGGAGGGCGCTTACGTTCTTCCTGCAACATGAGAAGGGAGGGAGGGACTCTCAGCAGGGATGCAGTCTGGGACACGTAGTTGCAAACCTAGCGACTTTGTTGTTAGATTCAATGACTTTTCAGACCCCCTAACGACTTTTTTTTAGAAAGAAAGGGACTTTTATCGACTTCTTCTGGAGTTTAGAGACTCTGACATGAAGCAGGCTTTCCTTACTGAGGAGTTAGCAACGCTGCTAAGGGTGCAGAGCCACACATGCGCTCAGAGCTCTGCATGGGAGACTGAAGCTGACAGAGCTGCAGCAGTTAGCAGGTTTCACCCTCAGAGACCACCAGGGGTTCATGTTGAGGCATTTTAAATTTTTTTTTTTTTTGTGCCATAGACACTGTCAGCACAATCTGCAGTTACACTAACAAAAATGCTGCAAAAAACAAAGAATTATGGAAAAATTACACATGGACTGACATAGAGGAGGATCTACACAAGTTTTTTACATCATGTTTTACATCATGCATCATTTACATCATGTTTTTTTGTAGTGGCATAAATAAAAAGTGACATTTGTGAGACTATACAGTGTTTTGTAAATAATTTTACAAAGAACGCCTGGGCCATTGCCTGCATTTTGATGTAAATAGAGGTAAATCACTATGTTCTTTGTTAAAAATTTGCATATGTTTTGAAGTTTACAATTTTTATTTGAAGTTTAAGTTTTAAAAACAGTTCATCACACATATTTGTGGTTTTCACAGTAAAAATGTTACTTTTTTCCACTCGGATTTTATGTTTTGTGTGTGAATTTGGGTCCATTGTGTAAATTCAGTATGTCAACATGATAAAATAACTGTAAATTCGCACAGGTGAGGTTGTGCTGAAAAAAATGATACCAGGCAAGGCACGTGATTGTCAAATTTTGTGTCAATATGACAAAGCGTATAGGCGTGAATCTCAACAATATGTATTTTCACCTTAGGGGACAAGAAAAAATGGACTTTTTTCTCCTGCCATGGGGGGGCGCTCTTTTGGGGAGTAAAAATTCCTTCATAAATGTGTTGATGGCTGGACATTGCATCATCCTAGAAAACTTGGAGGCCAGAGAGGACAAAAATAAAAAGTTATAAGACTTTTAAATATGTGGATTTTAGGGTTGTCTTTGGCGCCCCCTAGAACCTAAATCGTGGGGTGCAGCGTCATGATTTGAATAACTTTTAATGGCCATGGGGTGTAGATTGGCCTGAGCAAATGTGGTGCCGGTGGACAGAAAGCCTTCGGAGGAGTTAGCGAAATTCCAATGTGTGCGGATCGGCAAAAAATGCGGAATAACCCTTTAACCGTACATTTGACAGATACGCGCGCATTGACTTTTTCGTAGATCTTATTGAGTTACATGTGTGTGTCAATTTTTGTGTCATTTTGACAAAGCGTATAGGCGTGACACTCAACAATGTGTATTTTCACCTTAGGGGACAAGAAAAAATGGACTTTTTTCTCCTGCCATGGGGGGGCGCTCTTTTGGGGAGTAAAAATTCCTTCACAAATGTGTTGATGGCTGGACATTGCATCATCCTAGAAAACTTGGAGGCCAGTGAGGACAAAAATAAAAAGTTATAAGACTTTTAAATATGTGGATTTTAGTGTTATCTTTGGCGCCCCCTAGAACCTAAACCTTGGGGTGCAGCGTCATGATTTTGATAACTTTTAATGGCCACGGGGTGTAGATTGGCCTGAGCAAATGTGGTGCCGGTGGAACGAAAGCCTTCGGAGGAGTTAGCGAAATTCCAATGTGTGCGGATCGGAAAAAAATGCGAAATAACCCTTTAACCGTACATTTGACAGATACGGCCGCACTGACTTTTTTGTAGATCTTATTGAGATACATATGTGTGTCAATTTTTGTGTCAATATGACAAAGCGTACAGTCGTGACAGTCAATAGTGTGAATTTCCACCTTAGGGGGCGCTATGGAGCCATTTTGCATTTTATTGTTTTGGCGACTTCAGAATATCGAATTTTTCACCAGGCCCGGTGGTCCTGCCAAATTTCATGAGTTTTCGCCAGTGGGAAGTGGGCCATTTTCCAGTTCAAAGGGGAGGAAAAAGAAAAAAGAAAGAAAGAAACAAAGAAAAACCACTTGGGGAATAATAGGGCCTACGCCCGGCTGCTCTGCAGCTGGCTCGGGCCCTAACTAGGACCCCGTTGGGGCACTGGCGGGCCCGAGCCGTGTCCCCCCCCCCCAACGTGCTGCCTCCCCGTCCCATTTGTGTCCTCTGGCCATCGCCCTCTCTGGTAACGCCCATCACTGCAAAGACCCTTTTCCTTCATCGGCGTTTGCTGTTCTTCCTGCCAGTGCGTGTTGCTTTCACTTACACTTGCCACAGCCAGCCTCGTGAGTGCCTAGCCTATTGGATATCACTGTCACCTACACAGGACAGTCATTACCTTTCTATTAATACTTTGTGTTTTAATTTCACATTAATTTCCATATTGTATAAACGACTGGAAAAAACTTGAGCCCCTGCCCCTGTATAATCATGTGCATGTCTCTGTTCTAGCTCCAAGGTGAATCTTCACTGCTCATGTTCTCCTCAGAAGCACTCACCTCACTCCCCTCAGGTTACTGTACACATGCACCAACTGCCTGCTTCAGGTTTGGATGGAGCTTCATGGTTGTCTTTTGGAGAAATGACCAGTCAAGTTGTGTTTGAAATTTGATTTTTTTCAGGGGCAAAAGGAGCCTCTGCATTCTTGTCAAATATGTAAATAGCATGTTTTTGCAGGTGCTAAAAACCAGACTCTGAGTGTGTGTGTGTGTGTGTGTGTGTGTGTGTGTGTGTGTCTGTGTGTGCGTTCAAGTCACATTACATATTTAACCGGATGTAGCAGCAAGACGGAGCCTCGTTGACTCTCCGTTTCAACTTATCTCAAAAGTGAGGACCTCAAACTATACACCAGTTTTCAAATTGTGTTGATAGGCCAAATAAAACCAGAGTTATGATAAATTATGTCCGCGATACTTTTTTTCTGCTTATTTTGATCACGTTCGGCGCTCGATCGCGCTGTATGAGACAGGAAAACATAGCATGCAGACATTAGCGACAGGTCTTACAGGCGGAAAAGGCTTGCCAAAGAAAAAAAAAAACACACCACAACATCTCTCCTATTGGTGGAAAACTTCACCACAACAACCAATCCAAAATTATATGGTGACTGATTGACAAGGGGGCGCTTACGTTCTTCCTGCAACATGAGAAGGGAGGGAGGAACTCTCAGCAGGGATGCAGTCTGGGACACGTAGTTGCAAACCTAGCGACTTTGTTGTTAGATTCAATGACTTTTCAGACCCCCTAACGACTTTTTTTTAGAAAGAAAGGGACTTTTATCGACTTCTTCTGGAGTTTAGAGACTCTGACATGAAGCAGGCTTTCCTTACTGAGGAGTTAGCAACGCTGCTAAGGGTGCAGAGCCACACATGCGCTCCGAGCTCTGCATGGGAGACTAAAGCTGACAGAGCTGCAGCAGTTAGCAGGTTTCACCCTCAGAGACCACCAGGGGTTCATGTTGAGGCATTTTCAGTTTTTTTTTTTTTTTTGCCATAGACACTGTCAGCACAATCTGCAGTTACACTAACAAAAATGCTGCAAAAAACAAAGAATTATGGAAAGATTACACATGGACTGACATAGAGGAGGATCTACACAAGTTTTTTACATCATGTTTTACATCATGCATCATTTACATCATGTTTTTTTGTAGTGGCATAAATAAAAAGTGACATTTGTGAGACTATACAGTGTTTTGTAAATAATTTTACAAAGAACGCCTGGGCCATTGCCTGCATTTTGATGTAAATAGAGGTAAATTACTATGTTCTTTGTTAAAAATTTGCATATGTTTTGAAGTTTACAATTTTTATTTGAAGTTTAAGTTTTAAAAACAGTTCATCACATATATTTGTGGTTTAATTTCACATTAATTTCCATATTGTATAAATGACTGGAAAAAACTTGAGCCCCTGCCCCTGTATAATCATGTGCACGTCCCTGTTCTAGCTCCAAGGTGAATCTTCACTGCTCATGTTCTCCTCAGAAATAGTCACCTCACTCCCCTCAGGTTACTGTACACATGCACCAACTATCTGCTTCAGGTTTGGATGGAGCTTCATGGTTGTCTTTTGGAGAAATGAACAGTCAAGTTGTGTTTGAAATTTGATTTTTTTCAGGGGCAAAAGGAAGCCTCTGCATTCTTGTCAAATATGTAAACAGCTTGTTTTTGCAGGTGCTAAAAAACAGACTCTGTGTGTGTGTGTGTGTGTGTGTGTGTGTGTGTGTGTGTGTGTGTTGGCGTGTGTGTATATGTGTGTGTATCCTGCAGTACTCTGTACTCCTGCAGTGGCCAAAAAGACTTTTAAGAATGTGGATTTTTGGGTCATCTTTGGCGCCCCCTAGAACTGCAGTACTCTGTACTCCTGCAGTGGCCAAAATGACTTTTAAGAATGTGGATTTTTGGGTCATCTTTGGCGCCCCCTAGAACGTAAACCGTGGGGTGCAGCATCATGATTTTTACAACTTTGAATGGGCATGGGGTGTAGATTGCCCTGAGCAAATTTGGTATCGGTGGGACGAAAGCCTTAGGAGGAGATAGCCACATTCCAATGTGTGCGAATCGGCAAAAAATGCAAAATAGCCCTTTAACCGTACATTATACAGATACGCGCTCTTTGACTTTTTCATAGATCTAATTGAGATACACATGATTCTCAATTTTTGTGTCAATATGACATAGGTTCAGGCGTGACACTCAACAATGTGTATTTTCATGTAAGGGGACAAGAAAAAATTGACTTTTTTCTCCTACCATGGGGGGGCGCTCTTTTGGGGAGTAAAAATTCCTTCACAAATGTGTTGATGGCTGGACATTGCATCATCCTAGAAAACTTGGAGGCCAGTGAGGACAAAAAAAAAAGTTATAAAACATTTAAGAATGTGGATTTTTGGGTTATTTTTGGCGCCCCCTAGAACCTAAACCATGGGATGCAGCGTCATGATTTGAATAACTTTTAATGGCCATGGGGTGTAGATTGGCCTGAGCAAATGTGGTGCCAGTGGAACGAAAGCCTTCGGAGGAGTTAGCGAAATTCCAATGTGTGCGTATCGGCAAAAAATGCGGAATAACCCTTTAACCGTACATTTGACAGATACGCGCGCAGGACTTTTTTGTAGATCTTATTGAGATACATGTGTGTGTCAATTTTTGTGTAATTTTGACAAAGCGTACAGGCGTGACAGTCAATAGTGTGAATTTTCACCTTATGGGACAAGAAAAAATGGACTTTTTTCTCCTGCCATGGGGGGGCGCTCTTTTGGGGAGTAAAAATTCCTTCACAAATGTGTTGATGGCTGGACATTGCATCATCCTAGAAAACTTGGAGGCCAGTGAGGGCAAAAATAAAAAGTTATAAGACTTTGAAATATGTGGATTTTAGGGTTATCTTTGGCGCCCCCTAGAACCTAAACCGTGGGGTGCAGCGTCATGATTTGAATAACTTTTAATGGCCATGGGGTGTAGATTGGCCTGAGCAAATGTGGTGCCGGTGGAACGAAAGCCTTCGGAGGAGTTAGCGAAATTCCAATGTGTGCGGATCGGCAAAAAATGCGCAATAACCCTTTAACCGTACATTTGACAGATACGCCCGCACTGACTTTTTTGTAGATCTTATTGAGATACATGTGTGTGTCAATTTTTGTGTCATTTTGACAAAGCGTACAGGCGTCAGGTGAATTTTTCACCTTAGGGGGCGCTATGGAGCCATTTTGCATTGTATTGTTTGGACGACTTCAGAATATCAAATTTTTCACCAGGCCCGGTCGTCCTGCCAAATTTCATGAGTTTTCGCCAGTGGGAAGTGGGCCATTTTCCAGTTCAAAGGGGAGGAAAAAGAAAAAAGAAACAAAGACTAGGGCCCCGGTGGGGCACTGTCGGGCCCGAGCCGCGTCGCGCCGCCCCCAGCGCGACCGCCTCCCCCTCCCGATCGCGTCACACTCAAGGTCCAAAGATGGTGTGCGCACTTGTCTGTGGTCATTTCCCATTATAATGAATGGGAGGCGCAGTTTCTACCAAAACACTCGCTGCAGACAAACTTCATGTCCTATTTGAAAAAAGTCTGGACCATGAGTGAGGGCACAAACACAGCTATGATATATCGAAATGGCAGGTTGCTCCTCCTTACAGTGTTGCCTGGAGAGCGATGCGATTGAGCCATTGAGCGATGGGCAGGGTTAACTTGACTTTTTCTCCTGCCTTGTGGGGGGGGGGGGGGGGGGGGGGGATGTGGATTCCTTTAAGAATGTGGATTTTTGGGTCATCTTTGGCGCCCCCTAGAACGTAAACCGTGGGGTGCAGCGTCATGATTTTTACAACTTTGAATGGCCATGGGGTGTAGATTGGCCTGAGCAAATTTGGTGTCAGTGGGACGAAAGCCTTAGGAGGAGTTAGCCACATTCCAATGTGTGCGAATCGGCAAAAAATGCAAAATAGCCCTTTAACCGTACATTTGACGGATACACGCGCATTGACTTTTTTGTAGATCTTATTGAGATACATATGTGTGTCAATTTTTGTGTCAATATGATAAAGCGTACAGGCGTGACAGTCAATAGTGTGAATTTCCACCTTAGGGGACAAGAAAAAATTGACTTTTTTCTCCTGCCATGGGGGGGCGCTCTTTTGGGGAGTAAAAATTCCTTCACAAATGTGTTGATGGCTGGACATTGCATCATCCTAGAAAACTTGGAGGCCAGTGAGGACAAAAATAAAAAGTTATAAGACTTTTAAATATGTGGATTTTAGGGTTATCTTTGGCGCCCCCTAGAACCTAAACCGTGGGGTGCAGCGTCATGATTTGAATAACTTTTAATGGCCATGGGGTGTAGATTGGCCTGAGCAAATGTGGTGCCGGTGGAACGAAAGCCTTCGGAGGAGTTAGCGAAATTCCAATGTGTGCGGATCGGCAAAAAATGCGGAATAACCCTTTAACCGTACATTTGACAGATACGCGCGCATTGACTTTTTCGTAGATCTTATTGAGATACATGTGTGTGTCAATTTTTGTGTCATTTTGCCAAAGCGTACAGGTGTTACACTCAACAATGTGTATTTTCACCTTAGGGGACAAGAAAAATTTGACTTTTTTCTCCTGCCATGGGGGGGGCGCTCTTTTGGGGAGTAAAAATTCCTTCACAAATGTGTTGATGGCTGGACATTGCATCATCCTAGAAAACTTGGAGGCCAGTGAGGGCAAAAATAAAAAGTTATAAGACTTTTAAATATGTGGATCTTAGGGTTATCTGTGGCGCCCCCTAGAACCTAAACCGTGGGGTGCAGCGTCATGATTTGAATAACTTTTAATGGCCATGGGGTGTAGATTGGCCTGAGCAAATGTGGTGCCGGTGGAACGAAAGCCTTCGGAGGAGTTAGCGAAATTCCAATGTGTGCGGATCGGCAAAAAATGCGAAATAACCCTTTAACCGTACATTTGACAGATACGCCCGCACTGACTTTTTTGTAGATCTTATTGAGATACATGTGTGTGTCAATTTTTGTGTCATTTTGACAAAGCGTACACGCGTGACAGTCAATAGTGTGAATTTTCACCTTAGGGGGCGCTATGGAGCCATTTTGCATTTTCTTGTTTGGGCGACTTCGGAATATCAAATTTTTCACCAGGCCCGGTCGTCCTGCCAAATTTCATGAGTTTTCGCCAGTGGGAAGTGGGCCATTTTCCAGTTCAAAGGGGAGGAAAAATAATAACTAGGACCCCGTTGGGGCACTGGCGGGCCCGAGCTGTGTCGCGTCCCCCCCAACGCGCTGCCTCCCCGTCCCATTTGTGTCCTCTGGCCATCGCCCTCTTTGGTAACGCCCATCACTGCAAAGACCCTTTTCCTTCATCGGCGTTTGCTGTTCTTCCTGCCAGTGCGTGTTGCTTTCACTTACACTTGCCACAGCCAGCCTCGTGAGTGCCTAGCCTATTGGATATCACTGTCACCTACACAGGACAGTCATTACCTTTCTATTAATACTTTGTTTTTTAATTTCACATTAATTTCCAAATTGTATAAACGACTGGAAAAAACTTGAGCCCCTGCCCCTGTATAATCATGTGCACGTCTCTGTTCTAGCTCTAAGGTAAATCTTCACTGCTCATGTTCTCCTCAGAAGCAGTCACCTCACTCCCCTCAGGTTACTGTACACATGCACCAACTGCCTGCTTCAGGTTTGGATGGAGCTTCATGGTTGTCTTTTGGAGAAATGACCAGTCAAGTTGTGTTTGAAATTTGATTTTTTTCAGGGGCAAAAGGAGCCTCTGCATTCTTGTCAAATATGTAAATAGCATGTTTTTGCAGGTGCTACAAACCAGACTCTGAGTGTGTGTGTGCGTGTGTGTGTGTGTGTCTGTGTGTGTGTGTGTGCGTTCAAGTCACATGACATATTTAACCGGATGTAGCTGCAAGACGGAGCCTCGTTGACTCTCCGTTTCAACTTATCTCAAAAGTGAGGACCTCAACCTATATACCAGTTTTTAAATTGTGTTGATAGGCCAAATAAAACCAGAGTTATGATAAATTATGTCCGCGATACTTTTTTTCTGCTTATTTTGATCACGTTCGGCGCTCGATCGCGCTGTATGAGACAGGAAAACATAGCATGCAGACATTAGCGACAGGTCTTACAGGCGGAAAAGGCTTGCCAAAGGAAAAAAAATACACACCACAACATCTCTCCTATTGGTGGAAAACTTCACCACAACAACCAATCCAAAATTATATGGTGACTGATTGACAAGGGGCGGGAACTTACGTTCTTCCTGCAATATGAGAAGGGAGGGAGGGACTCTCAGCAGGGATGCAGTCTGGGACACGTAGTTGCAAACCTAGCGACTTTGTTGTTAGATTCAATGACTTTTCAGACCCCCTAACGACTTTTTTTTAGAAAGAAAGTGACTTTTATCGACTTCTTCTGGAGTTTAGAGACTCTGACATGAAGCAGGCTTTCCTTACTGAGGAGTTAGCAACGCTGCTAAGGGTGCAGAGCCACACATGCGCTCAGAGCTCTGCATGGGAGACTGAAGCTGACAGAGCTGCAGCAGTTAGCAGGTTTCACCCTCAGAGACCACCAGGGGTTCATGTTGAGGCATTTTAATTATTTTTTTTTTTTTTTGCCATAGACACTGTCAGCACAATCTGCAGTTACACTAACAAAAATGCTGCAAAAAACAAAGAATTATGGAAAAATTACACATGGACTGACATAGAGGAGGATCTACACAAGTTTTTTACATCATGTTTTACATCATGCATCATTTACATCATGTTTTTTTGTAGTGGCATAAATAAAAAGTGACATTTGTGAGACTATACAGTGTTTTGTAAATAATTTTACAAAGAACGCCTGGGCCATTGCCTGCATTTTGATGTAAATAGAGGTAAATTACTATGTTCTTTGTTAAAAATTTGCATATGTTTTGAAGTTTACAATTTTTATTTGAAGTTTAAGTTTTAAAAACAGTTCATCACACATATTTGTGGTTTAATTTCACATTAATTTCCATATTGTATAAATGACTGGAAAAAACTTGAGCCCCTGCCCCTGTATAATCATGTGCACGTCCCTGTTCTAGCTCCAAGGTGAATCTTCACTGCTCATGTTCTCCTCAGAAATAGTCACCTCACTCCCCTCAGGTTACTGTACACATGCACCAACTATCTGCTTCAGGTTTGGATGGAGCTTCATGGTTGTCTTTTGGAGAAATGAACAGTCAAGTTGTGTTTGAAATTTGATTTTTTTCAGGGGCAAAAGGAAGCCTCTGCATTCTTGTCAAATATGTAAACAGCATGTTTTTGCAGGTGCTAAAAAACAGACTCTGAGTGTGTGTGTGTGTGTGTGTGTGTGTGTGTGTGTGTGTGTGTGTGTGTGTGTGTGTGTGTATGTTGGCGTGTGTGTATATGTGTGTGTATCCTGCAGTACTCTGTACTCCTGCAGTGGCCAAAAAGACTTTTAAGAATGTGGATTTTTGGGTCATCTTTGGCGCCCCCTAGAACTGCAGTACTCTGTACTCCTGCAGTGGCCAAAATGACTTTTAAGAATGTGGATTTTTGGGTCATCTTTGGCGCCCCCTAGAACGTAAACCGTGGGGTGCAGCGTCATGATTTTTACAACTTTGAATGGGCATGGGGTGTAGATTGCCCTGAGCAAATTTGGTATCGGTGGGACTAAAGCCTTAGGAGGAGATAGCCACATTCCAATGTGTGCGAATCGGCAAAAAATGCAAAATAGCCCTTTAACCGTACATTATACAGATACGCGCTCTTTGACTTTTTTGTAGATCTAATTGAGATACACATGATTGTCAATTTTTGTGTCAATATGACATAGCGTTCAGGCGTGACACTCAACAATGTGTATTTTCATGTAAGGGGACAAGAAAAAATTGACTTTTTTCTCCTACCATGGGGGGGCGCTCTTTTGGGGAGTAAAAATTCCTTCACAAATGTGTTGATGGCTGGACATTGCATCATCCTAGAAAACTTGGAGGCCAGTGAGGACAAAAAAAAAAAGTTATAAAACATTTAAGAATGTGGATTTTTGGGTTATTTTTGGCGCCCCCTAGAACCTAAACCATGGGGTGCAGCATCATGATTTGAATAACTTTTAATGGCCATGGGGTGTAGATTGGCCTGAGCAAATGTGGTGCCGGTGGAACGAAAGCCTTCGGAGGAGTTAGCGAAATTCCAATGTGTGCGTATCGGCAAAAAATGCGGAATAACCCTTTAACCGTACATTTGACAGATACGCCCGCATTGACTTTTTTGTAGATCTTATTGAGATACATGTGTGTGTCAATTTTTGTGTCATTTTGCCAAAGCGTACAGGCGTGACACTCTACAATGTGTATTTTCACCTTAGGGGACAAGAAAAAATGGACTTTTTTCTCCTGCCATGGGGGGGCGCTCTTTTGGCGAGTAAAAATTCCTTCACAGATGTGTTGATGGCTGGACATTGCATCATCCTAGAAAACTTGGAGGCCAGTGAGGACAAAAATAAAAAGTTATAAGACTTTTAAATATGTGGATTTTAGGGTTATTTTTGGCGCCCCCTAGAACCTAAACCGTGGGGTGCAGCGTCATGATTTGAATAACTTTTAATGGCCATGGGGTGTAGATTGGCCTGAGCAAATGTGGTGCCGGTGGAACAAAAGCCTTCGGAGGAGTTAGCGAAATTCCAATGTGTGCGGATCGGCAAAAAATGCGAAATAACCCTTTAACCGTACATTTGACAAATACGCCCGCACTGACTTTTTTGTAGATCTTATTGAGATACATATGTGTGTCAATTTTTGTGTCAATATGACAAAGCGTACAGCCGTCATGTGAATTTTCACCTTAGGGGGCGCTATGGAGCCATTTTGCATTTTATTGTTTGGGCGACTTCAGAATATCGAATTTTTCACCAGGCCCGGTCGTCCTGCCAAATTTCATGAGTTTTCGCCAGTGGGAAGTGGGCCATTTTCCAGTTCAAAGGGGAGGAAAAAGAAAAAAGAAACAAAGAAAAACCACTTGGGGAATAATAGGGCTCTCGCAGCTGCTTAGCAGCTACGCTCGGGCCCTAATAATAACACTAGGACCCCGTTGGGGCACTGGCGGGCCCGAGCTGTGTCGCGTCCCCCCCCCAACGCGCTGCCTCCCCGTCCCATTTGTGTCCTCTGGCCATCGCCCTCTCTGGTAACGCCCATCACTGCAAAGACCCTTTTCCTTCATCGGCGTTTGCTGTTCTTCCTGCCAGTGCGTGTTGCTTTCACTTACACTTGCCACAGCCAGCCTCGTGAGTGCCTAGCCTATTGGATATCACTGTCACCTACACAGGACAGTCATTACCTTTCTATTAATACTTTGTTTTTTAATTTCACATTAATTTCCATATTGTATAAACGACTGGAAAAAACTTGAGCCCCTGCCCCTGTATAATCATGTGCACGTCTCTGTTCTAGCTCTAAGGTGAATCTTCACTGCTCATGTTCTCCTCAGAAGCAGTCACCTCACTCCCCTCAGGTTACTGTGCACATGCACCAACTGCCTGCTTCAGGTTTGGATGGAGCTTCATGGTTGTCTTTTGGAGAAATGACCAGTCAAGTTGTGTTTGAAATTTGATTTTTTTCAGGGGCAAAAGGAGCCTCTGCATTCTTGTCAAATATGTAAATAGCATGTTTTTGCAGGTGCTAAAAACCAGACTCTGAGTGTGTGTGTGTGTGTGTGTGCGTGTGTGTGTGTGTCTGTGTGTGCGTTCAAGTCACATGACATATTTAACCGGATGTAGCTGCAAGACGGAGCCTCGTTGACTCTCCGTTTCAACTTATCTCAAAAGTGAGGACCTCAACCTATATACCAGTTTTTAAATTGTGTTGATAGGCCAAATAAAACCAGAGTTATGATAAATTATGTCCGCGATACTTGTTTTCTGCTTATTTTGATCACGTTCGGCGCTCGATCGCGCTGTATGAGACAGGAAAACATAGCATGCAGACATTAGCGACAGGTCTTACAGGCGGAAAAGGCTTGCCAAAGGAAAAAAAAAAACACACCACAACATCTCTCCTATTGGTGGAAAACTTCACCACAACAACCAATCCAAAATTATATGGTGACTGATTGACAAGGGGCGGGCGCTTACGTTCTTCCTGCAATATGAGAAGGGAGGGAGGGACTCTCAGCAGGGATGCAGTCTGGGACACGTAGTTGCAAACCTAGCGACTTTGTTGTTAGATTCAATGACTTTTCAGACCCCCTAACGACTTTTTTTTTAGAAAGAAAGGGACTTTTATCGACTTATTCTGGAGTTTTGAGACTCTGACATGAAGCAGGCTTTCCTTACTGAGGAGTTAGCAACGCTGCTAAGGGTGCAGAGCCACACATGCGCTCAGAGCTCTGCATGGGAGACTGAAGCTGACAGAGCTGCAGCAGTTAGCAGGTTTCACCCTCAGAGACCACCAGGGGTTCATGTTGAGGCATTTTCAGTTTTTTTTTTTTTTTTTTGCCATAGACACTGTCAGCACAATCTGCAGTTACACTAACAAAAATGCTGCAAAAAACAAAGAATTATGGAAAAATTACACATGGACTAACATAGAGGAGGATCTACACAAGTTTTTTACATCATGTTTTACATCATGCATCATTTACATCATGTTTTTTTTGTAGTGGCATAAATAAAAAGTGACATTTGTGAGACTATACAGTGTTTTGTAAATAATTTTACAAAGAACACCTGAGCCATTGCCTGCATTTTGATGTAAATAGAGGTAAATTACTATGTTCTTTGTTAAAAATTTGCATATGTTCTGAAGTTTACAATTTTTATTTGAAGTTTAAGTTTTAAAAACAGTTCATCACACATATTTGTGGTTTTCACAGTAAAAACGTTACTTTTTTCCACTCGGATTTTATGTTTTGTGTGTGAATTTGGGTCCAATGTGTAAATATAGTATGTCAAAATGATAAAATAACTGTAAATTGACACAGGTGAGGTTGTGCTGAAAAAAATGATACCAGGCAAGGCAAGGTAAAAATTTTGTAAGAGGAAATATAAAGGTAAAATCTAAAGTAGTCAAAAACGGCCAATAGTGACTCACAGACTCCATAGACAAGTCCCTTTGGCGCCACTCAGTGGGCAAAACTACTTTGTCTACTGTAATGTATATTTGGGTCATCTTTGGCGCCCCCTAAAACGTAAACCGTGGGGTGCAGCGTCATGATTTTTACAACTTTGAATGGCCATGGAGTGTAGATTCGCCTGAGCAAATTTGGTGTCAGTGGGACGAAAGCCTTAGGAGGAGTTAGCAAAATTCCAATGTGTGCGAATCGGCAAAAAATGCAAAATAGCCCTTTT